CAACATTTCCAAACAAAAATGTTTATTTTTAAAAAACTGACCTAGAAAAGATGAAACCATGAGTGACTTGATACAAGCATGTGACTCTAATCTCTATGCTGCTATGCACACCTTGAACAACTGTTTTTCTTCCCTATTTCATTACTGTCTGCCATTCTATGGAGATGATAACAATTAATTTACTTGATTGGAAATACACGTTTTCGTTCTTATGCAGTTTCTTCCTCATTAACAAGCAGGTACATTTTAAAAAAGTGTGCAGTTTAAAAAAAAAATTCTCTATTCTCACTTCTACCTTCTCCTCAAGTGACCCATTACCAGCATTCCCCTTTGGTTGCAGTGGTCAAATTTCTGTGGTCCTAGGAAACAATTCCCTTGACTGAGTGTACTCAAGATGGCAGTCCCAGGTCTCTGTAGTTCCAAGACTTAAGCAAACTTCCAGTGCTGCTAATTAGCTGCTTTTCCTGCACTGGAGGTATTATTTAGGACCTTTTAATACCCGGTAATTATAGCATTTGAAAGATAAGAACTCTGCATGCAGATCTGTAAAATCTATGATAATTTCAACATTAATCCATAAAAGTTAGGTAGATGGAAACTGTCTTTGACAGAGATCGCAGCTTCACCTGGAAACACACAGAGTAGTGAGATGGGGCATCTAATCAACGAGAAGACGCAGCTCAACTCTGTTATTCATCATGGAAATGGCAGTATTTCTCACACTCACAACCCTAAGATAGCAGACATCTAAAGAAGAATGTCTGGAAGCCAAGGGTCAAACATAATAATTATGAATTTATTACCAACTGGTTCCTTAGCTTCAGCAAAGCTATTTATGCTCCCTTTATCTTGGTTCCCCTACATCTAAGTGAAAAGGATTTACCATCACTAGGAAAGTTTCATTCAGGTGCCAGAACAATAGCCTTGTAGCAGGCTTGTGTCGCCGAAGTAAAAGCACCATTTTTGGAATATGCAGCTGCAGCGCCTGATCCTGCACATGTTTCTACTACTCTGTCATGAGCTCTTTTTACTAATCCCAGGAAGAACAACTAGTGGAGAAAGCTCCAGGATGATCAGAATATGCATTCTGTGGATTTTATGATTTTACAGTAATTCTAATTTAAACCAACCTTACCAATAGCCTGAGATTAAAGTTAGGAAGTATAGACTACAAATCTTCATCTGAATGATTCCAAATATTGATTTAATTTAAAAAATACCCTAGAATTATCATCTTATCTTGAATTGTTATTTTAAAAATTTTGTTTCCTTTCCTGTTGACCAGCTTAAGATGAGAAGGTTTCAGCAGAAGACAGTCACTGGATGATCTCTGAGGTATCTCTCATTTCTTACATTCTATGCTTAGTGGTGGGTGAGTCAAAATTAAGGAGGTTAGGATACAAGGGCACAGTAGATTTAAGTTTGTGATCATTAGATTTAAGTTTGTGATCACTAGATTTAAGTTTGTGATCAGTGATAATTTGTTTTCCTTTTACTCTTGTGAGTTAAGTGAACAAGTTCGCTGTCTTGAAAAGATCAGATTTAAACTATTATTGTGCTCTTCTGTAAAAGGGAACGTGTTTACTGGAGACTTTTACTAAGTATGAACCTCAAGGCATGAAGGTGGAACATGAAGGAGTGGCCAGGGTCCAGGAGCATCAATAATGAATACACAGTACTCTTTATCTAATTTTGAACAACTTATGAATTGTGCAACTTTGAAAATATTTTTTTTAATCTAAAAAATAAAAATATCATTCCCTTTTTGAAGATAAAATAAAGTCTTATATTAAAATATTAAGAGATTTTGCCATAAAAAGCATAAAAGAAAGGAAGGATAGTATCTTCAGTCACATTTGGAGATTCAACTCCAATGCAAAGGGAAAAAAAGTGAAGATAAATAATGAGATTACATTAAACTAAAAAGTTTTTGTGTAGTAAGCAAAACTACCATAAAAACTAAAAGAAAGCATACTGACTGGAAGAATCTATTTGATCATCACATATCTGACAAGGGCTTAAAATCTAAAATATGAAGAAGACCTTATACAACAACAACAACAAACCAAAATAACAACAAAAACAAAACAGCCCAATAAAAATGGGCAGAGGATTTGAACAGATTTTTCTCCAAAGAAGATGTAATAGGAACATTTAAAAATATCCCACTTTGTTACTAGGGAAATACAAATCAAAATCATAATGAGATATCACCTCACATCTGTGAGAATGCCATATGTAGAAAAGACTGGGAATAATGGTTGCTGTAAGGAAGCAGAAAGGAACTATTACTGTTGGTGGGAATGTAAATTGATTCTGACCCTGTGAAAAATGGTTTGGAGAGTTCTTTAAATCTTTATAAACGGGAATGCCATATGAGCTAGAAATACCTTTCCTGAGTACATTCTGGAAAAGATGAAAACACAAATTTGGAAATTTATATGCATCCCTATGTTTATAGCAGCATTATTTACAGTAGCTTAGAAAGGGAACTAATCTAAATGCCCATTTACATACATGACTGGATAAAGATACAGTGGTATATATATTCAGTGAAATACTACTTCAGCTATCGAAAAAGATGAACTCTTGCCACTGTGACAATATGGATGGAACTCAATGTGATTATTCTAAGCAAACAAGTCAGGAAGTGAAAGACAACTACCAGATGGTATCTCTCTTGTGGAATGTAAATAAGCAAAGCAAATGAACTTAGAAATGACAACCAAATAAATCTTAGATTCTATGAAAAATACAGTGGCTGCCAAAAAATACAGTGGCTTCTTTCCAAAGGGAGAAGGAAAAAGGGGTTGGCAGGGAGGGTAGAGGGCATGAACTTGATATTGGGAACAGCACTAGACCTTTGTGGTGGGTGAGGGGAAGCTGACACACACATGCAGGTAAAGAAGTGCCGGGAAAACTGACAAGTACTGTAAGCGAGTATGATTTTATTACTTTGATAAAATGGTTTAGGTTGGGTGGGAATTGGAAACACTGGAACAATGGTCAGCTTTTATGGGATATAATTTAGAATTCAATTATGTTCTTAAATTGCATTATTGGTGATCCTGCTGATGATAATGCTTGTGAAAGGAGCTGAATTGACTTCAAACCTAGGCATTTTTATGCACGCAAATATCATTTATGCTCTTATCAAGAGAAAGTCTAAAAAAGAATTTAACTACATAATTAAAAGATAAATAAAATGTCTTTAATGATGGTGTTTTTTCTTCAGGTTACTCATATAAAACTATGATTGTTAGAAGTTTGGATTAAAAGTTAAATTGATACAAAAGCACTGAAAATTAAACCAGGTAAAAGTTCAAAGTGAAAATGCAAAGATTGATTTTTCTGCATAATTTTTTCAATCCTCTTCCTCAGAGATAATTGTTTTAATTATTTTTAACAGGTGCTTGTTTGCTCTGCATGCATGTGTGCATGTATGTAACTAGGAATTTTCTGCTTCATTTACGGTTTTGTTTAATTAACATATGTAACATATTTATTATATATTTTTATAGACAGAAGAGTACACAAGGCTCTCCTCCCTCCCAATTGTATGTCAATATACCTCTAAGTCCACCTAAACATTGTAAATGGCTGTGTAGTATTCCATGAAAGAGTTCTGATAGAAATTATTTCTTTTAAAGAATTACTCCTTTGTTATAAGATTTTTATTTTATTTATTTTTTGCATAGAACTGGGGTATTGGTGAGAGATGGGTGTTAAGAGGATTCACCAGAGACAAAGTAGAGAGCTGAATAGTTGGGCTGACTGAAATACACTGCTGAAGGGAGCAGCAGGTGAGTCAGGAGAGGTCTGCTGTGCGGTGTGGGTTAGTGTCCTGGCTGGGAATTGAACTTAGGCAACTTTGCCACAGGAGGGCTGTCACAGTGGTAGCACTGGGACTTAACCCCTAGGCCACCAAGTAGGCCCCAATAGAAATTATTTAATTAGTCCCTTATTTTTACACATTTATGTTATTTTAGGCTTTTGCTTTCATAAAGAATGCTTCGGTAAACATCTTTATATATTTCCTCTACCTACTTTTTTTATATACACAATGCATGTATCCATCTGGAAATGTATGATCATATAAATTTTGGAAAATGTTGTCAAATTAGTAAATGTTTTATCACTACACACTCCCACCACCACTTTCCAATTACCTGTCTCCTTATTTTCCCTCAAACCCTAAATTTGCCAGATGTTTCTAATCTCAGTCTATCTGATTAGAAAATACCTCTGTTTTGCATTTGTTTATGAATGAGGTTATTTACTTTTACATATAGGCAAACAGAACTATTAGCAAAGCCTCTGATAGTTCCACTCTTATCCTTTCTCTTCTACTTGGAATTTATTATTCATCTTTGTCCTTTTGGTTCTACCTTCCTTCCTCCTCTTTCCACTTCAGTTGGAATCTCCTGTAGAACCATAACTTGGTCACTAGAACCTCCTTCTATGGGATAGTGTCATGATTTGACATTCTCTATTTCTTCATTTCCTTCTTCCTGCAAATGACTTATTTTCTTAATTTACAGACATGAGGAATTTACATCTCAGGCCTTAAAAAAATTGCTAACATGAATTTTAAAAGAGCTTGCCAATGTGATCAAAGATGTGGTATCGATATTGAGATGTCCGAATTGTGAACTCCACTGCCACTTAATAATTTCATATATCTAAATAATTTGTAAGTAGTCTTTGTAACTCATAGCCACAAATAAGATGAGTATGAAATGACACCTAAAAATACAACATAGCTACCCATCCAAATAATTTAGAAGATTTTTTATATTGTACAATATATTCTAGTAGAGGCATGTATAACAAAGTAATATGCATTGTCTGATTGAAATGGTCTTCAAAGACATACACCAGCCTTTGTCTAGTTTTTACAACTACCGACTTTGTCCAAAGTTAAGGTTAGTGCTACTTCTTTCAATCAGCTTCTCCTTTCTCTCTTCAGGTAGCATGGAAGTTTTCACTCCCACAGAACAATGAATGAAGCCAATCACTCTGTGGTGTCTGAGTTTGTGTTCCTGGGACTTTCCAATTCATGGAAGATCCAGCTCCTCCTCTTTTTCTTTTCCTCTGTGTTCTATGCTGCAAGCCTGATGGGGAACCTCTTCATTGTATTAACTGTGATCTATGACCCTCGCTTAAAGTCCCCCATGTACTTCCTGCTGGCCAATCTTTCCATCATCGACTTGGTATTTTGCTGCACCACAACTCCCAAGATGATTTCGGACCTTTTCAGAAAGCACAAAACCATCTCCTTTGAGGGATGTATAGTTCAAGTCTTCTTTACCCATGCAATTGGGGGTACTGAGATGGTGCTGCTCATCGCTATGGCCTTTGACAGGTATGTGGCCATATGTAAGCCCCTGCACTACCTGACCATCATGAGCCCAAGGAGATGCATTATATTTTTGATTACTTCCTGGATTATTGGATTTATTCATTCGGTGACTCAGTTGGTTTTTGTTGTAGACTTACCTTTCTGTGGCCCTAATGAACTGGATAGCTTTTTTTGTGACCTTCCTCGACTGATCAAACTTGCCTGTACAGAGACTTACACACTGGGAGTCATGATTGTTGCTAATAGTGGTTTTATTTCTGTGGCTGCCTTTTTAATTCTGATTATCTCTTACATCTTTATTTTGGTGACTGTTCAGAAAAAATCTTCGGGCAGCATTTCCAAGGCCCTCTCTACCTTGTCAGCTCATGTCACTGTGGTCATTTTATTCTTTGGGCCACTGATCTTTTTCTACATATGGCCATTTCCTATATCGCATCTAGACAAATTCCTTGCCTTATTTGATGCAGTCATCACTCCTTTCCTAAATCCAGTCATTTATACTTTTAGGAATAAGGACATGACGGTGGCAATGAGGAGATTATGTGCTCAGTTTGTGAGTTACATTAAAAGATCTTAAAGTCATTTAAGACATATAGAAAGGCAAAATGTACTAAAATTTCACATGGCTAAATCAAGTAAGATATGTCAACTGTAGCCAAAATGATCACCTATTGCTGTACATTGTGTCTGGTTTGGTTTTTTCCCCTCTAGATTTAAACTGCTATGTCAATTTCTGAACTCTGCTTATGGGAGAGGCTTGAAGATATAAAGGTTATGGCTCTTCTCTCTCTAATGGCCTTGTCTCTCTATAGTGCCAAACAGAATTAATGTAAGTGTTAGATAATCCTCTTGAATACCAACATGGGACTCTTTGTCCTTTTCTACATTTCTTATGTTGACTTTTATAGAGAAATATTATTTTTTATTTAATCTTATTTTTTTTTTCGATAAGGTTACATATTTCCTATTTTTTCAGCTTGTATCTGTTAGCTTTCTTCAGTGTTTTATTCTAAACTCTCCTTGTCATGGTCTAGTGAGGATAAAGAAACCATTCCATTTTTCTTAAGTAGAGAAAAAATTGATATAAAGAATTATTAATTAAACTTAAAGTAAGGTTTTTTTTTTAAATAATGAACTCTAAGATGACAGAGAATTTGTACTTTTGGGAAGCAGTTTTTACCACTGAGGATGGAAGATGAAGAGTAAGAATTATTACAAAGGCTAGAGTTATTAAAAGAGGTTAAAATTAAAAGTTATTAAAAAAGGTTAGAATGTCAGAAACAAAAGGTGTCACAAACTGGGTTAAGAACATGCAAGGTTGAAACTCAAATATCAAAGAATGGTATGCTTACTGGCTGCTGCTAATGTCTTGAGGTTAGAAAATGGTACACAAAGATAAGGACCGTAAGGAAGGTTGTCCACTGGTTAGTGCAGGTGTCACTTGAGAAGGTACAATGACCAGGCTGTGATGAGGTGAATTCTTCTAATATTTGGAAATAGCTGCTGCCTTGGAAAGAAACACAGGTTGTGGAGGTGAAGAGACTGGATGGGTGATGCTCACAGGAACAAGCAAGCAGAAGAAGCCCATAGGCAGCAAACTGGAAGAAGCAATTCCCCTTCTATTTACCCCTTCCCTCCAGCCTTGCCATCTCTTTCTAGTTTCCTTTATAGTTAATCTGGCAAAAAGTGATACAATCTGTGCAGTTCCAGTTGCTCTATGATGCAGAGTGTAGAGAATAGCTTATATAGCACTTGCAAGCTTATATAGCACTTGCAATTATTCAGAAAGGCATTTAACTTCAACTAGGCTATGCAGTTTTTACAATTTCAAAATAAGTTATAAATCTCATTAAATTCCTATTCCTTTCCAATAAAAAGACATAGACTATGGCAAATTGAGTAATAACCCAAGATTGTATAAGGAATGCAAAGAATATCCAAATTCAGAATCTAGGATGACAGTGTCATGGTCATTTGCTGTCATTTGTCCATTTAGATCCTATTTTCTTATTTGCTAAATTTCATATCTTTATTGGACTAATTAATTTTCCACTAAATGTACTATTATATTATTCACTTTTTATCTTGAGTTTCTATTTATCAAGCATCAGAGTTTCAACAAATTCTCATGAAAGTTTTTTACTTAATAAATCATTTCAAGTTTTTCCCAGATATTTAATTCTTTTTGATATATTTTTAGATGGGGTTTTCTTATTTTCTTTCTCTTTTATCTTGTTGCTACATATACAAATGAAACTGATTTTTCTATTACCGTGCAACCTGCCACTTTACTTTTCTGATGTATTATTGTTATTTCAAATAGTTTTAGTGATGTGTTTAGGGTTTTCTATGTATATTATCATGTCACCTGCAAATAGTGATAGTTTTATTTTTTCTTTCCTAATTTGAGTTTCTTTTATATTGTTCTCTTTCTTAACTGCTCTATCTAGGGTTTCTAATATCATGTTGAATAGTTATTGTTAATGTGGACTTCTTTTTCCTTATGTCAGATCATAGAGGAAAAGTTTTCAGTCTTCTGCCATTAAATGTGATATGAGCTATAGGTTTATTACATATGACTGTTATTATGGAGTAGAATTAACAAATGAGGTGAAGTACCTATACAATGAATAGAATAAGACATAAATAGAAGATAATACAAAGAAATGGAAAGATATCCCCTGTTCATTCGAAGAATAAACATTGTTAAAATGGCCTCTCACCCAAAACAATACAGATTCAATGCAATCCCTATCAAGGTTTCAAAGGAATTCTTCAAAACAAATAATGAAATTCATATGGAACCACAAAAGACCCTCATAGCCACATCAATCCTCCTGGCAAAAAAGAAAGGTGGTATTAGTCTCCCAGACTTTAAATCATAATACAAATCATAATACAAACTACAATAATCAAAATAGTGTGGTACCAGAACAGAAAAAGACAAGACTAGTGGAGTAGAACAGAAAGAACCCATGCTCAGTATAGATAGATAAGCTATGACAAAGGAGTCCAGAATAAAAATTGGAGGAAACAACAGACACATGCACAGGGATGAAAGCAGATCACCACTTTGTGCGATACACAAAAATTAATTTAAAATGAGTTAAGATCTTAGATTAAGACTGGACACTATAATATCTATAGAAGAAAACTTAAGTAAGATAGTGTAGAATACTGGCTTCAGTGATCTCTTGTGCATTTGACTTCAACAACAAAAGAAACAAAAGTGTATATAAACAAATAAAACCTCACCAAACTAAAAAGCTTCTGCACTGTGAAAGAAACAAAAGAGGAAACAACCTATCAAAAATGGGCAGAAGGGCATTTCTGTATAGTCACTTTCTACATAAAAGGCAACAGAAACATGGAAAAGTTCTCTTTGTTACTTACTGTCAGAGAAATGTAAATAAAAACCACAATCATTTACCATCTCATAACTGTGATGATGGCCCACACTGATCAGAAACAAGTATAGTGAGGATATGGAAAAAGAGGACCCTCAGATACCATTGATGGGAACATAAACTGTCCAGACCTTAGAAAACAACGTCCATCCTTTGGAAAACATGTCCACCCTTTGGAAAAAAATGTGAGGTTTTCTCAAAATATTAAAAATTTATCTGTCATGTGGTCCAACAATTCTATTCCAATGGGTTTATCCAAAGAATGCAAAAATACTAATTTGAAGGGATATATGCATGCCCATATTTACAGCATTATTTATAATAGCTAAATGCCCCAGGACAGGTGAATAATCAGGAAGATGTAATGTAAATGCCCCAGGACAGGTGAATAATCAGGAAGATGTGATATGTGGACTTGCCCACACACACACAGTCACAATGGAATACACCTCAACTATAAAGGACAAACTCTTGCCATTTGCAACAACATGGATGGAACTGGATGGGATAATGCTATACAAATGAGTCATAAGGAGAAAAATAAATACCACATGATTTTACTTATATGAGGAATAAAGAGTCAACTATAGCCAAACTAAAAACAAACCCTGAAAATCTGTCTGTTGAATTAAGTCTACTATGGTATAGAGAGACAGTAGCAATACATTGGAGGAGAAAGAACTAAAAACTCTGGTGGAAGACTATGGGCGCCTTGGTATAGGGTGTGGTGTGCTGATATACTGAGGAGGTGTAATTCTGTACTTCTGAATCACATTCAGTGTTATAAACCAATGTTACTGTAATAAAATTTAAGAGAAAATGGACTCAGCCCTATTTTCTATTTCTTTTCAAATCTTATTTTTTCCATAAAACTTTAATTTTGGATTAATTTTATATTTACAGAGAAGTTGCAGACAGTCCAGGGGATTTATATGTACCCTTCACTAGTTTCAGCTTCCTATGTTATTATCTCCCAGTTCCATAGTATAGTTATCAAAACTGAGCTTTGAGTATTGTTGGTCAGATGTTATAAAATTTCTCTCAATTTGGGTTTCTCTAAAGAATACCATAGAAATAACCCTCCATTATATCAGTTCACTGTGTATATAATATTCACTTGTCATCATATGAATAAATTTGCTTAGTTGATCTATTATCTGACCCTAATAAAAAGAGGCAATATATTAGGTGTTACATCTGATATTCACATTCATTCTTTTTGAGTAGTCAATCTCTTGGCTGATGCAGCCTATGGACTTGATGATGGTTTACTAAGATTTTTGCTTATGTAATTTCATATTTCTTGGGGGTATAAGCCACAGTTTATTTCAACTCCATCCCTCCCTCCTTGGTTAGAATATTAAGTCAAGTGAAGTACTGATTGTTATGATCTACTTCCTTATTTCTTCTGTGAATCAGTTACTTTTTGTTTCTGTCCAGATAGAACTCTAGAACCCTCTCTCTTTTGAGTTTTCTGATTGTATGCCTTTAGAATTTATGTTTGTATTTCAAAGCTTTAATGGCTTAGTTCCCCGCACCCCCATGTGTTTCTCATTGGAGTCTCCCTGTTTGTATAATCACCCCTAGCAAGTTTTTGGTGCCCCAACATTTTATGTAGTCTCTCTAGTCTAATTCTATTTGAGTGAGAATTTGAATATTTTGCTACAACTCTTTGACAGTGAAATTTTATTATAGTAACACATGAAATAATACTATTCACTGTACTCTCTACCTGGCTTTCAGGACAGTGAAGAAGGACACTGT